CAACGTCTGCCTGCAGTGGATGAGCCCCCCTGAAGGCTATAAGTGGAGGGGGGGGGGCCCCAAGCCTTTACAGGGCCGGTTGGCTGGAAATTGCCGTGTGCGCGTGCTGACCCCCGGGCGAGGAGTTGTGGTGGAGCTCGGTCCCCCCAAAAGGGGGGGGTGGTGCCCCCCCCCCCCCCCCCCGATGTGTGAGCGTCGCCTGGTACGTCGTCGACGATGGCAGCCGCTTCTCGAGCGAGGGTGAGGGCGCGGGTGAGGGTGAGGGTGAGGGTGAGGAGCCAGTATGAGGGTGAGGGTGAGGGTGAGGGTGAGGGTGAGGGTGAGGGTGAGGGTGAGGGTTGAGGGTGAGGTGTGAGGGTGAGGGTGAGGGTGAGGGGTGAGGGGTGAGGGTGAGGGCGAGGGTGAGGGTGAGGGCGAGGGTGAGGGTGAGGGTGAGGGTGAGGGTGAGGGTGAGGGTTACCACGAGCGACGGCACCACCACCACAGTACAAGGGGCTGAGAGGTTGGACGACCGAGTGGAGTCGTCAGAAGGCACGGCCAGCGCGTCTGCTGCCCGCTCATTAGTGTGGAATGGCCAGCTAGTCATCAGCAGCTAGGCCCGGCCACCTCGTATGCCACTGGCGCGACAAAGCGCACGAGGTCAGACCGGCCGGCGAGCGCGGCGGCGAGGGCGGCGGCGGAGAGCTGGGGAGGGCGGAGGCGGAGGAGCTCTCCGAGTCCGACCTCGCTCCCGTCAATCAGCATCCAGCACTCGCCAGTCGGGCTCGACGAGGACATCGCGTCGAAGCCGGGCGCGTTGTGTGACAGCTTCACCCAGCCGTCGCGCACCGCAGACGCCTCGAAGACGGTGCCGCGCGTCTGCTGGCCGACCGGTTTGGCCTTGACACTCGGCTCCGCCCGCACGAAGCACGCGCGGTGCACGACCTCGTAACGTGGAGGCCCGGCGGCCGCGGCCGCCTTTCTCGCGAGCTCCGCCTCGGCGGCGGCGGCATCGCCGCCTGACTCGAAGAAGGCGACCCACTGGTCCTCCGCCCACGCGGGGAGCGGAGAGGGCGGATCGACGTCCTCGGCGAACAGGTCTGCCTGGAGCTCGAGCACGGCAGCCTCGTCGAGAGGCTTCTTCGACATCGGTCCGCAACTCTCTGGGGAGTCCCAGGAATCTCCCTTCTCGAGGTCTCGAGGTTTGTATGTTATACCAAAAGGAGGGCTACACGACGCCCTCTACGCTGGGGTGCTCGAGGTTTCTCGAGGTTCTATGTGCACGCCAACTCAGGGTGTGTGGCAGCCACGCTGGCTGTGTGTCTTGTGAGCTTGTTTGTGTCTGTGTGTCGCTCGTGCGTGTCGTCATCATCTGTCATACATTGAGCAGCGGAGGTGTGCCGAGGGGGACCACCGGGAGGCGGTAAGCCGTCGTCGCCCGGCGCTGCATGCAGCACCGTGGCGATGGCGCTAAGAGGTTCCTCTTTTCCGCGCCCCCCCCCGCAAGGCGCGCGATACACTGTCCCGCGTCCACCCATACCGCGTTGGTGTCCAGTCCGAGCCTGACTGTTGTTCATCTTTCTACATACATACATACAGGTTCTCGAGGTGGATATCCGTGTGTGTGTGTGTGTGTGTGTGTGTGTGTGTGTGTGTGTGTGTGTGTGTGTGTGTGATACTCACTCACTCTGGCCGCGACCGTTGGGCAGCGAGGATTGGTGTGACGCGATTCACGCAGGCGTGATTTCTGGCGGCCCAGTGCACGGAGTTGCCCTTTCTCCGACTGCCCCGGCTAGTTCACGAGTTTCGCGGGAGTGACCCCATGCGTCAAACCCTCGAGGTGGATATCCTTTGGCCGTTGGGTAGCGAGGGCTTTCAAGCAGAGCTACTCAGTACAGCACCAACGCCTTCGGCGACCACTGCCTCAATTCCGCCAACGCCACCCACCGCCACAACGCCGCACTCGCGGCCGCGCCCCCCCCGCAAGGCGCGCGATACACGGCCGTCCATCCACCGTGCGCTCACCAACCAGCGTCACGAGCGACGCCCTGCCGGTTGGCTCGATCCAGCTGGCCGACAAGGGCGACGGGACCCCCGCCTCCAAGCACCAAGGCTGAGCGGAAGGGCTACTACGCCCCTAGCTACGCCCACGTCAACAAGGGACACATCCCGGACTTGATCCGCTTTGGCTCCACGACTACGTGCTGGGAGTTCAAGTGCTACACTCCGTTCCTCCCCTCCGGCGCAAAGGGCAACGGCTCTGCCCGCTGCGGAGGCGCCGCCTCCCGCGCCGATGGGCACTTCATCGCGCTTGCAACACCGAGGAGCACCACTCCGTCGTCGTCCTCGGTCACCCCCACAACGGGATGACCCGGCCACGGAGGAGCAACTGGACCGTGTCAGCGGCGACGGATGGGTGGCAGCGAAGGACGGTGATTACGCTGACGCCCTCGCCAAGGGCCACACGGTCATCCTCCTCGTGACCGAGTCGACCGGAGCATTCTCCGCCGACCTCGATCCGCGTCCTCCGCCAACTTGCAAACGCGGAGGGCCTGCACCACCCAGGCACGCCGGCACGCGGTAAAGCGCGAGACGCTCATCCAAAGAGCGCCCCGAGGTATAGAATTCTTTGTATCTATAGAACTCTTTATTCACCCAATATGCAAGGCTACAACAACGCCCTCTATGTTGGGTCTAGAATTTTAAAAATATGCAAGCCTCTCTGAGAGCTAGAATTTAAACAAAACAACTCTCTCTGAGAGCTAGAAATAAATAAACAAAGTGCAGTGGAAAATCCAAAATCCAAATCGCAAACATAGAAACCCAAACACACACAGCCACGTGGCATAGGAGAGCAGGAGGTGAAAGGAGGTCAGCACAAGTTCCAAAGGACGCACGAGCGAGAAGCACAGCAGAGCAGAAATAAAAAAAGCACGCAAACGAAGGGTTTGGCGCTGCGCTGCTCTCCGCCGTGGGCTGTCTTCAGCCGCACTGAGGCCGGAACGGATGTGTTGTAATATAGATATCGTTATCGACACGGCTCGAGACGCGATGAGCCGAGACAATGGACACGTGCCAGCTGCCACGCGCGACGTGGCGCGATAAAACCACACCGATATACACGCTCATAACGTGTGTTCCTTTTTTCGGCCTGGTTGCTCTCACACTTTTGACGAGAGCCTGGACACGTTTTGGCGACGGCGGCCCGCCAAACGGTGGAGCCACGACTGTCTACGGCACTCACATACCTCGTGCTGCGCCTGGTCCTCCGCCCGCCGCCACGCCGGTCTGGCATCGTGCTCCGCGAGCAGGGCCCGTGACCACTCACGTAGCCTGCTGGCGGGAAACGCCCACCGTTTGAGCCTTGGCTTGGCTCCCGGCGTGTGAGAAATGCCAGGCACATGCTCGTGCACAAACACCACCGCCTCGCTTCCGACCAGGTGCAAGTTCGCAGCGGGCTGGTGGAGCGACCGCTGCCCCACATGAGTGTGACTGTGCCTCGAGCCCAGCTTGACGCGGCTCCCGGGCGAGCCGTAGTCGTCGGTCGCGCACCGCAGAAGCGGCGCCGGGGCACTCCAACGGACTCCGTCACGCGAGACTGCGAACGCGATGCAGCCAGAGCTGCGGTGCACGACCGGGAATAGAGCGAGGAGAGAGTCCGCCAGCACCGGGTTCTGCTGCACCAGGAAGAAGTAGATGTCGCCGTCGCAGTATGCGTAGTTGTCAATGCGGATCATCTGGAAGGGCGACCACGTACTCACTCCTTCCTCGCTTGGCAAGAGTGGGCTCCCCTGATCGGCCGTCGAAAGTTGCACGTAGCGCTGGCCGGTGTGCACTGGATTGGCTCGTGCATAGAGCATCGCACGTCTACACGCAAGACAAGGGTGGGGCTCGCTATGTGGCGCGGGGCCCTCCGTCCACGGGCGCGCGCCCTCGATGGAAGACGAGCGAAAGGCGGCCATCGAAGACGCAGCCAGGCAGGCCGTCCCCGCGCAGGCGCCCCCGCTTTGGCAAGCGGCCCTGGACGCAGCCGCGATGATTGGGACCTATCGCCGGCGCGACGAGCCGCCACGTCGACTCGGCTGGTGTCAGGTTGCTAAGCGCCCCCGCAGCTCTGCCATCGCGCAATGCCACTCTCCGAGCAGAGGAGTACAGCAAGCCGGCTGAATGAGGAGCGCGACGTCGGAAAAGGCGAGACGGAGGGCGACACCGCGGCCCACTTCATCGCCGACATTGCCTTCAACTACTACCCGCAGACGGCGGTCAAGTTCACCGATTTCCCTCACCACCTCGCGAAGACCATCGAGGGCGACGCGGCTGAGGCGGACGCGCTGGTCTCGAGTGCGTGGGACCACAAGAACATCGCGCTGCTCGAGCCGACGTCCTCGTGCGGCGCTGGCGACCAGAGCAGTCAGGCGTGGGGGATCTCGGTCTTCAAGGTGGAGGAGCACCGCCCCTGCACGGACGGCGAGACGGCGTGGGAGGGACATCCTTGCGTCCACTACTCCGGCTACGTCTCGGCGGCTACGTCCAACTTTGTCAACGTGAATGAGGGCCGGTTCGTCTGCCAGCTATTCGTTGACACTGTCATCGTCCCCTACTTTTGAGCACTGGTGCGCTTCTTAGCTCCCCCCCCGGCCCTGGATGTGAGGAGCTCAATGAGGTTAGAAAGAAGCCGCCGATGACGAGCGCGTCGTGGAGTATTCACTCCGGACAAAGACGGGCACACAGCAGGAGGGCCTGGCGCACAACCCCTGGTCAACTCACGGTCCTCACCCCGTACCGACCCCGCGCACGCCAAGACCCAAGTGCTCCAAGTCCGAGCCTGGCTGTTCGCCTTTCTATCGAATCTAATCCAAATTTTGTGTAGAAAGAGCGCAAGAGAAATCGCTGCTCCTCCCCAGCTCCCCCTTTCCCTGTGGCACAGCTCGCGTTACAAAACCTTGATTTTGACCATTTGCGCACTATTGTCCCTCTCGGTGCCTTCCAGAGGCAGCTGCGACCCCGCCGAGAAGACGGCGGCACACAGCAGGTGGCGCGGTGTGCCGCCGTCCACTCCGGACTCGGCTGGATCGCAGCTGCCTCTGCGCGTCCTGGGGAGGGACAATAGTGATCGGATTAGTGTCGCCGCCGGAGACGACTCGACGACGCTGAGATCGGAGATCAAGCTCTGACAGGTCGCACGTCGCTCCTTTGACGCCGACGTGAGGCTCACCCGTGCAGATCACATCAGGACACGGTCTCGACGCCCTGGGTAGTCGACGGGCCCCCGAGGGCGACGGGGGTGCTCTCCGGCCGCGGCGGCCGAAAACGGGGACCTCCTTTACGGTCCTTTAATGAAGTGATGCACTTGATGCAAGGGTGCCATTGTGCTCTACTACAAAAGTTGTGTAAGATGCCCAAGTCTCAGACGCTGGATCCTTAGCGGAGCTGAGTTCTGACGGTGTGAACACGAGCAACCGGAGTGACGACCGGGACCGGGCCGCACGCCGGGAGTGTCCCGACTAGCAGTGGCGGGCGCGGACGAGCGAATGAGAGGTCGCTATCTGTGGAAGATGTGTTATTAGAGGAC